TCTGGGCTGGGGCCTGGAAAAACCAGTTGGAGAAGGAATCGGATCCACAGCTAATACCATAGAGGAAACACAGGCTGAGATGTCTCTCTCCCAGATATAATAGTGTGAGGCTATGGGCAAAGCCTGAGCTCATTTTCCAAAGGAAACTTTCTTGAGAAATGTCTCCTAGCAACCAGCTCCACCAACATACAACCTTCAAGGACCTCTGCAGAAACACAAAGGCTTTTTGTGGCTCCCTTCTTCAAAAGCCAGGTTGGAAGTGCTTATCGGCAGAGACGCTAATATGAGGCACGGAGAGCCAGTGGAGGGGGCCCATGGTGGGGCAGTGAAATTACCAGCAGTCTGGCTTCAGGGCTCAGAGCAAGAGCTTTGGGCCAGAGTTCAAAACCAGGCTCCACCTCTTACCAACTGAATAACCTTGGGCAAGTCATTCAACCTCTCTGAGTCTGTTTCCCCATCTGTAAAATGGGGATAATAATATGTAGGTCAGTGCTCTACCCAGGTGCCCTGTAGTAGTCCAGCACACCCAGCCACCAGGTACGGTGAGCGTTGGCAGCTAACAGCTGCACTCTTAGAACGATTGGCTGATGGAAGGTGCCTCTCCCAGAGGTATTTGGGAGCTTGAGCCCATCTGCCTGGTTATCCCTTCCCATTGTCCTACAACCAATGACCAACTAATGTAGAGGGATAAAAGGCCAGTCCTCTTGCCTCAAAGCAGGACAACGTAGTACCACGTATAGTCCAGACCTCCTCGTGGGGTCAGACTGAGACTAGACTTCAGCTGAACCCCCATCTTTGCCGAACTTACCCTGCCCCATCCTCTTCCCTCCCTTACTCCTTCACAGAGACCTCCTAGGAGAGCCCTCCCTCAATAAATCACTTGCACAAAGTCCCCATTTCAGGCTCTCCTAGGAAATCCAAAGACATGAGAGTATCTACATCTCTAATGAAAGAATACATGTGAAGTACCAGCCAATGTCTGGCATGCAGTGTGTGCCCAATAAATGGACATCATGATCCTCCTCTTCCTCATTATTATTATTGTAATTAAAGACAGTCCTGGGATCAGAGAAGGATTCTAAAGTGGAAGAGTTGTGGACTGTCTTGGTATGAGAGGATAGTTGCACTTAGACTGGCTAACACAGTTGAGACAAATTTATCATCTTACTTTGCTGATTAATTAATATTAATAAATTAATATTAACATATAATTTTTCCTAGTATAAAAACAATACAAGCTCATTGCCAAAAAATGAATAAACCCCTCAGGAAATGCAGAGAATGACAAAAATGAGTGAATGAATGAATGAATGAATGAATAAAATTTCCCACCCCTTTAGTATAATCACTGGGGACATTTTCATTCATATCCTTCTAAACATTTCCTACATAAATTCACATAATGTACATATGTAGACACATTTACACACATATCTATACATGTAAACATATATATAATTGGTATGTGTAACATATGTGTATATCTAATATGCTATCTCCATAGCATAATATTGCATATGTAATAATATACATATAACCAATTTTGTTACCAGGAAAAATGGAATTACAAATACTATTTTGTAACCTGTTTTTTTTCCACTTGATTTTCATATAGAGGTAGTGGATATCTTCCATGTTAGTAAACACAAGTCTACAGCATCAGTTCTGGCCAAAGATTGTTTTACTTTTTATGGAGATAACACTGTTTAATCAATCCCCTATCTCTAGACAGTCACCCTATTGCCAATCTTTTTACTATTATGAATAAATAATGCTGGTTAAAGTAAATCCTTGAGCACATATCCTTGTGCATATGTTCAGTTACTTCCTGAAAACAAATTCCTAGAAATGGAAAAGTATAGATATTGGGATGTGCACATTTCCCTGCAGGAAGACTGTACTACCAACACTCCCTCCAGGAGTGCAGCAGTGTCTGTTTCCCCACACTAGGTATCCCAATAGTCTCCAATACTAGGTATCATTTTTTTTTTTTAATTTTTGCCAATCTGATAGGTGAAAAATACTGCATTGTTGCCCCAAGTGTGCATTTCTTTGGTTTCTGGGGAGGCCAAGTATCTTTTCTTACACTTGTGGGCTGTTTGGATTTCACCTGCTGAGAATCACCATTGTCCAATCTTTGGCAAGGCCCTTCAGGTGTCTCCTCTCCTCCCCCTGCCCCACCAGATCCACAGGCTCAGTGGCTCCCCTAGAGTGTCAGTTCAGAAGCAGCAAAGCCCTGCTTCCTATAGGATTGGTCTCACAGGAAGGCAGAGTTTTTGCCCTCAGGCTCCAGCAGCCAGCCAGAGGATGGGGGTGGGATTAGTGGGGATCCAGTTCCCTGACTTCCGGGTGCCCCTGGCCAATTCCCCTCTCCTGCCCTGTCCATGACCCTACACCACAGGGACCATACAAACTAGATCTACTTAAAGAAAACATTTCTCCAAAATTCAAAACCCACCCAGCAAATACATTCCAGGGGTGATTATTAGCATGGCTTAAGGAATCTTTTCAGAAGAAACTACTAGAACATTCCTTTTAAAGACCAGTGCTCCTGAGAGGTTTAAAAAGAGATTTTACATATGCCAAGATCTATCATAGTTGAAAATATCCCAACCATTGACCCAGGGATACCACTGGTAAGAATTTTCCCTCTGGTGGGTGCACTTACCCATATACAGAAAGACATGTGTAAAGTACTTATTGAAATATTGCTCACAATAGCAAAATAAATGCTAACAGACTAAATGTCCATCAGTAAGGACCTGCAAAATAAGTTACGAACGACATTTACCGGGAAACATTGTGCAGACAGTGAAATAATGCTGTGAATCTGAATTACACGTGTGGAAAAACGCCCTTGAGATATCATAAAGTGATAAAAAAGCAAGTAATGGAATAGTGCATTTCATGTGATCCCTTTTGTACTTTTCAAAAGGATAGATCAGAATTATTCTAGATGTTTATGAAAGTGGAAATAATTCCTGGATGGGCACATAAGAAACTACTTACAGTGGTTTCATCTGGGAGGGGGATTTGGGGTTAAAGTATTTGGGGATTTTTAGGTCCCACTTTATACCCATCTGCATTATTTAAATTATTAGCATGAATATGCTTTACCATTATTTTTTTATTTTTTTATCATTTATCTATTATTGAGAGACAGAGAGAAAGAACATGAGCAGGGAAGGGGCAGAGAGAGGGGGAGACACAGAATCTGAAACAGGCTCCAGGTTCTGAGCTGTCAGCACAGAGCCCAACGCGGGGCTGGAACTCAAAAACCATGAGATTATGACCTGAGCCAAAGTCAGACGCTTAACCGACTGAGCCACCCAGGCGCCCCATGCTTTACCATTATATAATGAAAAACCTTACAAGTGAGCCTGTGATCAATAATTATGATAATAGCATAACTGTTAAATAGCTTATTGAATGTCACATATGTGCCAGGCACTAAGTATTCTCTCATTTAATCTTAAAACTAGCCCTATTCTGATACCCATCTAATACATGAGGAAACAGAGTCTTAGGTTGAGAGGTTTGTTATGGCCACTTCTGGTTTTTCTTCTATAATGTATTTATTTTTTTATAACTTACATCCAAGTTAGTTAGCACATGGTGCAACAATGATTTCAGGAGTAGATTCTTTAAGCCCCTTACCGATTTAGCCCATCCCCCTTCCCACAACCTCTCTAGCAATCCTCTGTTTGTTCTCTATATTTAAGAGTCCCTTATGTTTTGTCCCCCTTCCTGTTTTTATATTATTTTTGCTTCCCTTATGTTCATCTGTTTTGTATCTTAAAGTCCTCATATGAGTGAAGTCATATGATATTTGTCTTTCTCTGACTAATTTCACTTAGCGTAATACCCTCCAGTTTCATCCACGTAGTTGCAAATGGCAAGATTTCATTGTTTTCCATTGTGTTACAGCCACTTCTGATTACAAAGCTTTGGCTCTTGCTGCAGAGCATGATTCTGGTGCCTGAAAAGAGAAGTAGCTGTGTGTGGGCTTTGTGAGGACCACTAGGAGGGGGTCCCTCCCGGTGGGCTGGCTGGCTTCCCACAAGGGCAGCTGCTTGGTCATCTGCACTTACACCCTACAGGTTTTCTCCTTCTCCTGACCTGACTCTAAAGTTGCACTGTCCAACACAGGCTACTTAAATTAATGACATTTAAATAAGACTAAAATTTCGGTTCCACAGAAGCATGAACCACATTTCGAGTGCTAAATAGCCAGTTGTGGCTCATGGATACCATATCATCAGCACAGATATCAAACATTTCCATCATTTCAGAACACTCTATTGGATAGAACTGCCTTATCACAGCATTAGAGCCAGGCAGACCTGGGCTCACCCTGCTCCTCCACTTACTAACAGGATGAACTGAGCAAGTTATTTAACCTTTCTGAGCCTCTGTGTTCTCATCTGTAAAATGGGATGACAATATAGATACCTCACTGGGCTGTTGCAGGGATTACTTGTGATCATGCCTGTTGTATGGTTAGCCCAATGCCTGTCACCTAGGCAGTTTAAAGGGTAACAAGGAGGGTAGGACTCTGCAGTCAGACAATTTCATGACCTTGGACATGTCACCTCACTGCTCTGAGCCCCAGCCTCCTGGGGTATATGGCATCTATCCTGAAAGTCTGCTGTGAGCATTAAAACATATGGTTGGTGCTCAGGGAGGGTCAAGTATCTTTTCCCCTTTCTTAAAGGGGTTTTCTTCTGTCAGAAAAACCATTCTCTAAGACCCAGAACTAAAATATTCCAGAAGGGATCCAGAAGGCCCATGGACCAACAAAAGAAGGTACAACCTCCAAAAAAATGATTGTGGGATGCTGTTTGTCACCTATCAGACTGAGAGAGGGAGGAAACAGTTTGAGCATTTTATTGAAGAATAACATACATACAGAAAAGTGAATCCATCATAGGTGTACCACTCAATGAATTTTGAGAAATTTAAAATATCTGTGTAGCTGCTACTGAGATCGAGAAACAGAACATCAATAGCACCCCAAAAGCCCCCTCGTGCCCCTTCTCAACCACTATCGCCTCCCACAACAGTAACCACTAATATCATAGACTCATTTTCAGTAGACAAACTTAAAGATTCATAACACCCAGACTTAGTGAGGGTGTAGACAACCCAGTAATCTGAGACACTGACGGTGGGCGTGTGAAATGGTACAGCCATTCTGGAGGGTGATTTGGTAGCACCTGCTAAAATTTAGCATTGGCCTGGCATTTACACTTCAGTGTCTGCCCTAGAGAAACGCCCACATCCCTGCATGGAGCAGTAAACACATGGATGTTTGGAGCAGAATTGTTTGTAATGGTGATAAATTAGAAACAACTTACATGTCCAACTAAAGGGATTTGTTGGGGAAAAACAAGCAAACAAACAAACTGTAGGCATCACCCTGTATTATACACCGCAGTGGATCAAAATAGTCGAGAGGATCTATGTGTATTGACATAGAACTATCTAGAAGACATATGATAGAGTTTAAAAAGCAATCTGCAGGAAAATGACCAAAACAGACACACACAGCATCAAAAAAACAAAAAAACAAACCAGTAATAACTCTGGGGAAGGGGTGAGATGGGGCTTGAGGAGGGGCAGTAAGGAGAAATGCTACTTTTAAACTTGTGTGCAATTAGGTTATTCCAAATGTTTAAATACATTAAGAGCTTTCAAGGATAATTAAGCAGCCCAGCCACCAAGTTCAGGCCAGGAGAGGAAGGCTTTTCTGGCGGCTGGGTAGGGGGTGCTCCTGGCCCAATGCCTTAGCTTGGGTTCCGGGAGCGGCAGAGTTCCAGGCCTCCAAGGCCTGAGGGGTTGAAATGAATGGAGCAGTGAGAAGACCCTGGAGACCGGAACCACGGAGGCTTCCTCCTTTGATGGAAGACAGTGCCCTGGTTACCGCACTCAGCTGAGAACCCAACACCAGTGTGATGTAAGTGGACCCCTGGAAAGAAGCGAGTCCCAGGGTTTGGCCCTCTCCAAGCAATGCCCAGCACTTTAAAGGAAGGATTGCCAGGTTTGATTCTCTTGGTCCCTGGGGATGAAGGACAAGGAGGAGGCCAGTGTTGCCTCACACAGCACAGTGACTTTGTGAGAGTGAGGCACTAAGGCAGAGGCTCAGAGAGGGTCCTGTGACAACCAGTGGCCATGAGCTCAGGAGTGGGGAATGGGAGTCGGGGGTAGAAGCCAAAGGTCTATGTTAAGAACATTCCATGGGGTGGGGTAGCTGGCTGGCTCAATGGTTAAGCTCCGCACTCAGCTCAAGGTCATATCTTGCTCAGAGTTCGAGCCAAGGGCCAGGCTCCCAGCTGATACCAGAGCCTGAACCTGCTCGATTCCTGCCCCTCTCGTCCCTTCCTAAGCCCATTCATCTCTCAAACACATTAAAAAAATTCCACCTTTAAGAGTTAGCATGGCAGGGGTGCCTGGGTGGCTCAGTCGGTTAAGCATCCAACTCTTGATTTTGGCTCAGGTCATGATCTCAGGGTTCGTGAGTTTGAGCCCACACCAGGCTCTTTCACCGACAGCGTGGAGCTCAACCTGGGAACCTGCTTCGAATTCTTTCTCCTCTCTCTGTCCCTCCCTTCCTGCTCTGCTTGCACTCTCTCCTCTCTCAATACATTAAAATAATTCCATAACTAAAACATTAAAAAACATATTTTTAAAAAAGCGTGGCAGGGAGGCAGGCCCAGCTGACTCCATGCAGAAGGGTTCCTTAACCTCTCTGAGCCTCAGTTTCCTCTTCTGTACAATGAGGTGCAGGCTCTTGCCATCACACACACGCAAGCACACACACATTCAGTTTGTGAATGTGGCAAAGACCACACACTCACACTGCCTCCAGGCTAACCGCAGAACTGCCACTTGCCAGCTTTGTATCCTAGCTGCTGAAGGCCCCAGCTTCCTTCCTCATCCATAAAACAAGAGCCCCACTCTTACCGAATCTCAGAGGACTATTATGAGGCTAAGTGAAGCCATATTGGTAAAGTCTTATCACAGCATTCAGCTCTAGGACATGCTCAATAAATATTTGCAACAATTATTAAACTGGTTTTTTTTAAATAAGCACCTATCTATGTGCCAGGATATGCTAGACACTGAAGACATATTCCTGAATAAGTCACATTCCTGTTTCTCAGGGTGTTTAGAGTTTAATGGTGTGGAGTGGGGGGATAAAAAAGGATGCCTACACACACACACACACACACACACACACACACACACACACACACACCTGATACACTCCAGGTTACAAGGACAAATACTCTGAGGTCCTACCCTCATCTCTTCCAAAGTCAAAATTCAGGTCCATCTATGTTCATCTAAGATGCAGTTTTGTTGATACCTCCTTCCGCTCCCCCATTGATCCCAAAGATTGTGCACAGAAGTGATCTCAAGGTGTTTAAAAAAAAAATCTATGTCGTGAAGATGTCAAAAGCACAACAGAGAAACTGATACAATCACGGTTGACAGCATCTACAAGAGGTAAACATTCACCCATCTTATGACCTGCCATTCCACTGCTGGGTATTTCCCCAACAGAAACAAGCACTGTGTTTACCCCAAAAGTCATAGAAAGTTGTTCAGAGCAGCTTTATTAGCATGCTGGTAAGTGAAAGAAGCCAGGTCCCAAAGACTAAATTTTATGATTCCATTCATATGAAGTTCTAGAATAAGAGAAATCTACGGTGATATTGGTCAGAATTAGTGCTTACTCTGGGAAAAATTGGGCATTGACTGAGAAGGGGAACAAGGGGGTCTTCTACAGTGCAGGGAATGTTTCATATCTCAATCTTGGAGTGGCTCTGAGGGTGAACACATATGTAACACTTTGTTGAGCCACACAATTGAAATTAGTGCATTTTATGTATGTGTGCTATACTTCAATTTATTTAAAAATGTTTGTTTATTTATTTTGAGACAGAAATCAGGAATGGGGCAGAGAGAGGGGAAGGGAGAGAGAATCCCAAGCAGTCTCTGTGCTGGCAAAGCCCAGTGCAGGGCTGGAACCCGCAAACTGTGAGATCACAACCTGAGCCAATACCAAGAGTCAGACGCTTAACCAATGGGGCCATCCAGGAGTCCCTACACTTCAATTTTTAACAAACAAAGCAAGGTCACTTAAGTGTTACCTGGTGCATGTATCCTATGGGGAACACTAAGCAGGATGTGTGATGGGTCCATAGTCTCCTTGGCACTTCTCAAATAGAGGAATCAGCCTTCAGGGAAAGTAGCAGAGCAAAGTGGAGAAGAGGAAACTTTGGAGGATAGGCTCATTGAACGTCCCCAGGGACCAACCCCAAAAAACTCTCTCAACAATTGAGACATGAAAAAGAAGCAGGTGGGGATAACGGAGAAGTCAGGAGAAATACAAAAGCAAACACACTGAGTTTGCCCAGCCACAGTTGGGTATGTTGTTCCATACACAATGGTATTTCCTCTGGCAATCATGTATGTTGATGTTCACTAACCAAAATTATAACTAAGCCAGCATCTTCCAGTCCCTAAATTGTGTGAGCAAATGAGAACTGGCTGTATTTATGAGCACAGTCCTTGGGAAAGACTCTTAGTTATCAGTAATGCATCAGCAAAAGATCCAAGCAGCTTTTTGATTCAGCTTTGCCTTTGCAAGGGGTTGCATGCAAGTGGAGTGTTTTCTTGCTCACTGAACTCTAGTCATTGAAGGGAGAGAGGAATCTGCCTGGATCACATCGCGTGTTACTGGACACGTGATAGCCTGATTTTCCAACAAGTCTTTCGTGCAAGGGAGGTTGGAGAGTGTGCAAGGGACAACTCTTTGAACTCCAGGTCTTAAACTTCTCCTGATAAAATCCTGGCTGTGTAAGTCTAAGGTTGCCCTTGGGCCCCAGCCCCACTTCCCAGGTCTGTAGGAAGATGTGGGAAGAAGCTCAGATCCCCTTCAAGCCCTCTGGAGCTTTCTTCCATGGATGAAGTTACTTGTTTTCTTAATCCCTTTGTTAAAAACCACAAAAGAAGCTTGGCCAAATCCCAGACACCCTCCCTTTTTTATGCCCTCCTGGGTGGCAGAGTTCAAAATGGGAGCACCCTGGGGAAATATCAGGACCCCAGCCCCTTCTGTGCACCCTGAATAATCCTTGAGCAGACAGCAGAGGACTTCCCTGGGTTCTGGTCCTGGCTTACTCTCTGGAATTGCCCACTTTCTCCTTACAGACCAGAGCTCCCTGTGTGGATGCACTCACTCATTCATTCATTCATTCATTCACTTCATTCATTCTTTCAACAAATCATTATCCCACATCCAAGCCAAGCCCAGCTCTGGAGTAGGCCCTGGGGAGACAGCTGTGAACCTGGTCTTCCCCCTTAAGTCTTGTATAGTCTGGTGGAGGAAGTGGGGCTCGAACAACCATAACTCAGTGGTGAGGAGTCATATAAGTGAAGTCTGGGGTACTGGAGCACATGATCTAAGGGGGCCTCCTTGGGGAAATGGCATTTCAGCTGAGATTTAATGGATAAGCAGGAGGAACTGGGCAGAGCTGGGGAATGTGCACAGGTGGAGGCAATGGCTTGTGCAGAAGCAGGAGGTGAGAAACATCAGGGCTTTCAGGAACCCAAGCAGAATTCTCAGTGGCTGGAGTGTGATGTGTGGAGGAAGGTGGCCCCCGTTCTCCACTGACTTTCCCTCATGTGACCACTCCTGAGTCCCTCCACTCCAGCCACCCTGGCAGCCTGCTCTTCCCTGAACCTTCTGGCACACTCCAGCCTCAGGACCCTAGCTCCAGCTGTTCCCTCCGTCTGCAACTCTCTTGCCCAAAATATCTGTCTGGCTAACTCCCCCACTTCCTTCAAGTTTGTGTTCACACCTCCCCTTCTCAATGAGACCCTCTGGGCAGCCACCTATTACCCCTACTCCCCCACTTACCACTAACCTTCTCCCCGCCTATTCTCATTTCTCTTTTCCACAGTATCCATCACCTTGGAACATACTATCTACTTTACTTATTCATTATGCTTATTGTCTAGCTCCCCCACTAGAATGCCAGTTTCACAAGGTCAGGACCTTTGTGTGTCAGGACCTGAACCACCACAAGCCCTTGAACCTTTGAAGGAACAGATTGTTGGGATTTGAAAGGGTGGCAGGGAGGGTCTGGGTTGAGAAGGCCTTATAGGCTAGAAGAAGGTGTGTCCCGAAATGCAAAGGGAAGGCAACAATGGGTTTTCAGTAGGGCAGGAGTGGAGTCTGAGTTACATTTAAAAACTTGCCCTGGAATCTGTGTGGCGAACAGCTTGAAAGAAGAGAAGCTACTCCAGGCATTCGGGCACAGGGCAGTGGTGCCTGGGGTAGGATTGGGGCATTGGAACTGGATGGATTGAAGAGATGTCAGCAGGTGGATTCATCATGCCTTGGCGATCTGAGGACTGTGCACTTGTGGGAAGACAGGGCAAAGTGGACCCCCCCAGGATCCTGCCTGAGCCACAGAGCCAGAGTGGAGTCACTTGACAAGAGGGGGGACAGGGGAGGAACATGTTGGAAGTTGGAGTGATCAACAGTTCTGTTTGGGCCATGGTGAGTAGGGCCTATTAGACTTTCAAGTGGATACGTCAAGCAGCGTGTTAGCCAAAGTTTAAGCTCAGAGTGAAAGTCTGGTTTGGAAATATGCATGTGGGGATCTTCAGCTTAGAGTTGTTCTTAAAGTCATGAGAGTTTAAGGGCACCTGGGTGGCTCAGTCGTTTGAGCATCTGACTTCGACTCAGGTCATGATCTCGCAGTTTGTGAGTTCCAGCCCCATGTCAGGCTCTGTGCTGACAGCTCAGAGCCTGTAGCCTGCTTCGAATTTTGTCTCCCTCTCTCTCTGCCCCTCTCCCACTCATGCTTTGTCTCTCTCTCTCTCTCTCTCTCTCTCTCTCTCTCTCTCTCAAAAATAAATAAACATTAAAAAAAAAGTCATGAGAGTTTAGAGAGAGAAGAGAAGATGTCTAAGAACTGACCTTGAGGACCAAACCCTGAAGTCTTAATTGGCCCTTGAAGGAAGAGGTGTTTGCCAGGAAGGTAGGGAGAAGGTAGTTCAGGTAGAGGCAACAGCATGGATAAGACTTCAACATAAAAGAATATGGATCTCAGTACTCTTCAGAACTGTCAAGGTCATCAAAAACAAAGAAAGTCTGAAAAGCTATTAGAGCCAAGAGGAGCCTAAGGAGACATGACAACGCAATATAACGTGGTGCCTTGGATAGGATCCTGGAACAGAAAAACGACATTAGGTAAAAACTAAGGAAATCTGAATAATGTATGGACTTCAGTTGATAATAATATATTGATATTAGCTCAATAATTGTAACACACCTGCCACCCTACATACATGTACATCGACATACATATAAAATGTTAACAGAATGACTGGATGCATGATGTAAGGAACTCTCTATACTATCTTCTCAGTTTTTTCCTAAATCTATAGCTGTTCTTCAAAAAATTAACTTTTTTAAAAGAGCATGTCTTATAAATGTCCCTCAACATGTGTGCATGTGCGTGTGTGGACACACACACATTCGCACACGCACACACACACTCCAAGGACTATAGTAATTTGTTTCTCTGGAGAGGACTTCAACCTTGATCAGTCCCTCCTGTGGGAACTCAGCAACCCTATGAATATCACTTCATTCCACCCCTGCCAGGGAAGAGAGGGTCCTCATCTCTACCTACTTTCTTTCTGTTCACAGAAAGAATACTCTCCTCAGGCCATATTTCATCATGAAAATGAGAAGCAGAGACTAAATGGCCAAGGTAAGTCAGACCCACCTAGAATTCCTCAGGGATGCAACCTAAATTAATCCTTCTTTCTGCTCTTTAAAAGCACATTACTTCATCACAATTTTCCTGAATCCTCACCTTATTCAACAGCTGTCTTTGCTTCCCCTCCACAGCAAAGTTTTGTCATCCCCTGGGTTCCAATTCCAGCTCCATTACTAACTAGTTATGTGATTGTGGGCAAGTCACTTGAGACTTATTTTTCTTATCTCTAAAAGGAGCATAACCATACTTGATCAAAGAGTGGATTAAAGGAGATGAATAATAACTCATATATAATTTCATCCTCTAAAGAATGGATATGGAATAGTCAATAGTAAATATCTGTAATCGTGCCTGGCACTCATGGTGGTTGGTTGTGGATGAGGCATATGACCAATCTAACCAATCAGTGACGTCCCCAAAGATCAAAGTGCGTCACTTGGATCCTTGGGACCCCGGGTGGTGACAAAGGAGCAGAGAAGTACAGAAATCTCCAAGTCCCAACAGAAGCTGGGCTTGGGAAGTGGCAAAGAACCGGCCAGAGAGCACTTGGCTGGCAGCTGGTCTAGGGGGCACCAAGGCTAGAGAGGACACAGGGGCACAGGGAGACGGTACCATGTGATAGAGGCTCCGACAGCCAGCTCGAGATTCCCTGGCCCACACAGGCACAGCTTTGAACAGAGGCCATCTGGTACTCTGGACAGCTCCAGGGGTCTGTAGATTTCAGGGGCACTGGTTTTGTGGGTGGAGAACTGGATTGAGTCTTGGTTCCTCCAACTAGCTGTGTGAGCACGAGCAAGCCACCTCACCTTCCAGAGCCCCAATGTCTTCATCTCCAAACTGGAAATAATACCTACCCTTCAGTACTTTTATGAAGAGTAAATGAGATAACAGAGGGGCAGTAGAGCAGGGTGGCCCATGTCTGGGGTCAAAATACCTGAGTTTGTGTTCCAGCTCCACACTGTGTGATCCCAGATAAATTGCTTAACCTCTCTGAGCCTCAGTATCCTCATCTGTAAAATTGGAAGGCTAATAGACCCTAATTCACAGGGTTGTGAAGATAGAATGAAAGAGGACATGAAGCACACAATAAACAGTAGTTTTTATTTTAGAAGGAACTTAGCACAGCACCAGACAGAGTAGATAATTAAAATTGTCAGTTTCTTATATCTTCCAAATCTCCACTTTTGGACTCCTTTGGTTGGTCCTCCCATCTCTGGCTGTTAAAGGGATTGTACAAATTGGGGAAAATCAATCTTGTGGAGCCCTACCACAACCTTCCTCCTAAAGGCCCTCAAGCCAGTGCCACTTCACCCTAGGGATACTTTTTAAAAGTATATATATATATATATATATATATATATATATATATATCAGTATATAGTGTTTGTTCTTTGCCAGCCACTGTTCTAAGATTATATGTAATACATATAATCATATACTGTAGATGTATAATCTCATATCTCACAACCTTGTGAGATAAGTACTGTGGCTATTCCCATTTTACAGGTGAGAAAACTGTGGCTCTGCGAGGGTAGGTAATTACATGGTGGAGTCACACAGTTATAAGCTGGTGGCGCTAGGACGTGATCCCAGGGTGCCACTTCAGAAACGCACACCTGCTTGTAGTGTTCCAGGAGGCCAGCGGCCAGGGAAATGGAGAAGCGTGAGTGGGAGACCAAGGCTAGAAATCAGGATATAGGCTCTCCTTGGGCCCCAGACCCGCGCCCTGCCCACTGCGTGCGCGGGATACCTGCCCTTGCCCCAGAGCTCTGTCCCTCCCTCGGCGGCGCCTCCTCGCCGGACGCTGCGGCCGCCGTGGTAACTCGATCCGCGGCTGGGTTTGGGCCTCGGTTCGCGTCACCGGCGCGGAGACACTCCGGCCCCCGGAGTAGTATCCGCCGCTGCGCTGCGGCTAGCAGTGCCGGCACTGCAGTCGGGCGCGCGGGCGCATGGCGCAGAGGCTGGGCGAGCGAGCACGGGGCCCCGCCGAGGCCACCGGGCTCTACCGGGCCGTGCTGCTCAGGTCGGGTAAGTGAGGGCAAGGCCACCCCACCTCGTGCACTCAGCGAGGACAGTCGGGCGCCCAGCCTGGCCATCCCGCCGCCGGGCACCTCCGTCCTTCTTCACTTCTCTGCCTTCCTCCCTTGTTTCATTCGTTTAAATTACTTTTGTTTTCCTTTCATTCCTTCTTTCCCTCCCACATTCTTCCCTTTGGGGACCTACGCGTAGATTCATTCCTATGTGTGAGCACGCGTGCGCGCCCGCCCAAACACACTCACTCGCTTTCCCAACTGTTTAAGTCCCGCAACGTTCCACCCCCTGGCGGGTCTCTTAAGCGCGCGAAGGGTGTGGAGGCGTGGGAGAGTGGAAAATGGGTGAGACCCGGGTAGCCCGCCGCCCCGCATGAAGAGGCACAGAGGCATAGCCGCTGGTGACGTCCAGCGAGGTATCCCACTGGCGGGCGAAGGGCAGGAGAGAGCCAAGGGAGGGGAAGGTGAGAAAGCGGTTTTCTCTATATATGCGCGTAAAGAGAAAAACATGTGGAAGGAAACACACGGGTGGTTATTTTCAAGGATAAACGTTGGATGACAAGGCTTTGGGGTTTTTTTTCTCTTTCTCCTATTTGTCTTTTTGTTTACTTATTTGCAATAAGCACATACTACTTTCCTACCCAGAACGATAAGAGATTTTTGTTATTTAGGAAGATGAAACAAACGTGGTATACGGTCACTGTAAAAATAATTTGGAAAACCAGAGACGTAGAAAAAAGAAAAGCAATGCCGGCAGTGAGCGTTCGGAGCGTTTCCTTCCAGATTTGTGCTTGGAAAGAGGTTTAGGGAAGGTGAAAATCGGGCCCGAACGTGGTCCCTGCCAGCTGGGGGTACGGGAATAGAAAGTGTCAAGGGACTCGGGCTCACGGGACAGCCACGATCGGCCATGGGCAAGGAGCACGCCCCCACCCAGTAGTCCTGCCCGCAGACCCCTGGAGCCGAAGGTGCGAAGGTGCGAGGCGAGCCGTTGGCGGGAGCTTCTGCCCCAGCCCGACGTCCGTTCTGGGACTGACTGCCCTTCTTACTCAGCCTGGCTCCGCCCCCGGGAGTTCCCCACGAGGAGCTACTGCTGGGGACACTGAAACAACGGTTCTCTTAAGTCCAAAAGCAAGAACTGGCCAAGACTTCAGGACTAGCGGCGCCTTCCTGGGGGGAGCGTCTTAAATCTGGCTGAGCTGGGGCAGGCGGAAAGGGAGGAGCTCTGTAATGAGATGAATCTGATTGCAAATCAGAGCACCTCTCCTAAGTGTTCCCAGCCAGTTCCTGTCTTCTCACAAAGATGAGGAGGGGCTGTCTAATCTGAAGACCCTGAATTCCCTCTAACCTGGAGCCGCAGCCATTAGCCTCATTCCAAAAGCAGCATCTTTCACCTGCAACCTATTCAGAATAGCAGGCATATCAGAGTCATTTCAGGGGCCACATGCTTGCCCAAGCCACACACAGCTACAAGCCAGGGAGGGAGCAAGGCCTTGGACTGGGGCCTCATGGAAGGAGCATTTATTTTGTGCTAAACACTGCTGGCTCATTCCGTCTTAATAAACCCTATAAGGTCACTGCTGATTGTCATCCCCATTTAACAGATGAGGAGACTGAGCCTCAAAGGGGTTAAGCAGCTTGCCCACGGTCCTAAGAGAACTTTTCTGTCCCACTATGGGGTAGAAAACACATGCGAACCTAGTCCCATCTATGCCACAGTTTGCACACCTCCTGAGACTAGTAATAATGATAGCAAATGATGTTGGCCACTTGTTATTGCCACTCTCTTTGCCAAATGCTGTATATCTGTCATCTCGTCAAGTTGATTCATTTATTCCTCCAACCAATATTTACTGACCACTATTACGCACTAGCCCTATGCAAGGCACAGGGATGTACTCATAAATGCAACAGATATGTCCCTCCTCTCAGGGAGGTAAATAGTATTAACTCCTGTTTTAAACGTGAGGAAACTTAGGCTCAGAAGATATCATGACTTGTCTGAAGTCACACAGCCAATCAGGGGTGGAGCTGAGATTCAACCCCAGGGCCATGTGCCTGTAGAAGCACTACTCTGGTTGTCTCGTACAAGGAAAAGTAAGAAGTAAGAGTTGGGGTGAGGATCTAACTGGGGCATTTAGTGATAGGCAAGAAGAGCTCCCCTCCTTTAGACGTCCCCAAGGATGGGATCATAGAGTCAAACCCAAGATGGTAGCCATCTTCGTTTACAGTAGCCTCAAGTCCTATGCACCAAGTAATATAACACTTTTAGAAAATTTTTCATCACAAATTATTTAAAATAATTTTTTAACGGTAAAGTAATACATGTTCACCATTAATATTTTGAGAAATTGAGAATAACAAAGGGGAAGTTTTATCCACAATCCCACTAACCATAAGCAGCTACTTATAACATTTGGAGATGTCTCCTTCCTATCTTTGCTATGCATAGTGTGTGCCTGTCTTACATTGTTTTACATCACTGAGGTTGTACCAACTCTAGTCTTTTTTTTCCTTATTTTTTGATGGTTATTTTTAGAGAGAGAGACAGAGTGTGAGTGGGGGAGGGGCGGAGAAAGAGGGAGACACAGAATCCGAAGCAGGTTCCAGGCTCTGAGCTGTCAGCACAGAACCCGATGCGGGGCTCGAACTCACAAACCATGAGATCGTGACTGAAATTGGTCGCTTAACCAACTGAGCCACCCAGGCACCCCTGCCAACTCTAGTCTTCAATCCCACTTTTTTCACGTGGATTAAAATCCTTTTGTTTTTATTTTTTAATGTTTATTTATTTTGGGGGGGGGAGGAGCAGAGAGAGAGGGAGAGAGAGAGAATCCCAAGGAGGCTCCATGCCATCCGCGCAAACCCATCGTGGGACTCCATCTCATGAACTGAACCATGAGATCAGGACCTGAGCCAAAATCAAGAGTCGACACTTAACCGACTGAGCCACCCAGGCACCCA